TCCTCTGGACTATTTCTAGCAACTTATAGTCTTTTTTGCTACGGACGCCACGCTTGGCTTTTATTTTCCGGATGCTAACGAATGAACGCTCCGTATACTTTACCAAATAACTGTTTGTCTATATCTATGAAAGTTTGTTTAATTGCAAAAAGAACACTGGTTGCCCTTTTGGCCGCCCTAACCCACCCAGAGGAAGGCTTAAGAGTCGACAAAATGTTGATCCCAAGATCTTTTTGTCCGGTTACACTTGAAAGGCACCTTCCACCAAGCAGGTGATCCTCTCCATCGGCTCTCCCAGTCGTTTTTGAGTCGCAGTGCGACGCACTTCTCAAGGTTAAACTTCAGCAGTCATTTATCAGACCATTCGCGTAGGCCGTTCAGTCCTTCTTGCAGGGCCCGTTCATCATTTTCCCCGTCGATCGCTCGCCATAACTTTATGTCATCGGCAAACATGACTCCATTTCAGGTCAGTCCATTCATACAGTGGTTGACATGAATTTAAAATAGTACTGGTCCGAGTACAGAACCCTGGGGAACTCCACTCACAACTGGCCCTGAGGTTGACTTCGCATTACCAATACACACAGACTGTGATCGACCAGTCAGAAAGTCCTTTATCCAGTGTAACAGGTTTCCTCTTATCCTCGACTCTCGAACCTTGTTAAGTAACCGGTGCTGTGGGTCACTATCAAAGGCTTTCTTGAAATCGATGTAAACGATATCGACCCTTGTTCCTTCGACTAACGAGCGAGACCACTGTTCCGTTGAATAGAGCATATTAGTTAGGCGGGAGTGATTTCGTCGAAAGCCGTGTTGGGAAGTAGCAATGAAATTATTTTCTTCGAGGAACTTCATTATGGATTTTTTGACTATTCTCTCCATGACTTTGCAACAAATGCGCGTTAGGCTAACCGGCCGATACTTGTTTGTACTTGCTCTAGATCCACCGCTGTGAATGGGGTATATGTTTGTCACTTTCCAATCAGAGGGGAGAATGCCTCGGTCAAAGGACGACCTGAGTACGTGCGAAGGCGGTTTGGCGAGTTCGCAAGCCAACTCCTTTAGAACTTTCACCGGAATTCGGTCTGGACCCGGAGGCTTGCTCTCCTTAAACGCTAGAAGTTCCTTCCTCAATCTTCTTCCTTGATGTCAATGTTTTCCATTATTTCGTCGGTTGTCCCAGCAGGCAACCCAGCCTCGTCAAAGTCAGTTCCATCAGTGAAAACAGGTATGAAAAACCGGCTTAGATGTTCTGCCTTAGCGTCATTTTCGATGATATCCTCATAGTTGTCTCCTTTCAACACTAGGACCGTTTCCTTGTACTTTAACCTACTGTTGATGTAACTGAAGAGCACTTTTGGCTAATCGATGGGCCGTTCGATGACTTGCGTTTCATACGCCTTCCGCGGCCTACGGATAGCCGACCTTACCTCGTTTCGCTTTCGGCGAAACTGCTCGTAATGAGATGGTTGTTTTGTTGTTGCATACCTTCTCCAGAGTTTGTTCTTCCGGTTTACTTCTTGTTTATATCTCGCGTTATCCAGGCAGGACGAATATTCTTTTTGACTTTCTTTGTCGGGCAGTATCGATGCATGATTTCTGTTACAACTCCTTTGAGAGTGTTCCAGTCAACGTCTGGATCTCCGGTAAGAGCATCATTCCAGTCCACTCCCGATAGTTCCTTTCTCATGGCGGCAAAGTCTCCTCACTAGAAATTCAGCCGAGGCTCAGTCGTATTTACTTGTTGACTGCATAGGCGGTATTCCCAAAACAGCATGACATGGTCACTCTTACCGAGCGGCGTTATGGACCTAAGTTCACCAGGACTAATTGGGTCTTTTGTAAGGACGAGGTCCAGACAATTTGCTCTTTGGTCCTCTTTGATCCTGTTTGGGAACGTGACGATTTTTACCAGAAAGAGATTAGCAATTAGCTTCAAGAGTCTGAAATCAAAGGAATTTCGCGAACCATTTACTAATAAATTGTTCCAGTCGACCATAAGTGCGTTGAAGTCTCCGGTTATCAGTACCTCTTGGTTTTTTGACACCTCTTTAATTAACCCAAACAGCGCCTCATTAACCTCAGCAGTTTGATTGGGCGGCCTGTGTACGGTCAGGAAATTCAGATTAGGAGCGTCACGCATCCTCAGTTTTAACCACATTACTTCACAGTCGCGGGAGCAATCGGTTTTGCGTTCCGACGAGATGATTCCCCTCTTGACGTAGGCCGCTATTCCCCCTCCTTTTTTATGCAGTCTGTCCAGGCGAAAAAGTTGGTATCCACCGAGTGTAATTTTGGCATCCAAGACTTCGGTCTGGAACCAAGTCTGTATGATAGAAATGACATACGGCTGCGTATCTGTTATCCACACTTTCAGCTCATCTAGCTTCTGGAACAAACTCTGAACATTTGCATAAAGAAAGCCTAGCTTAGCCCGGGCAGATTCCCGAACGACTTTTGGTTCAAAGTGGCTGGATATTTCGTGCGAGTTTTCGGGTCTATCGTTCCCTTCCGAGTCTACTGCTGTTTGATTGGACTGGAAGTTAATGTGTTGGCCGTCGTTTTTTCTAGTCCGTTTGGCAAATAGGGGCGTTCTTTCCTTATTATCTGGTTGTCCATTAAGCTCAGTGTTATTGGTTGTCTCCAGAGGAATGAGCTCCGACCATTTGCTATTTTCCCATTCAGTATTCTTAGGTTTTTCTCGCCGGAATTGTATCTCCTGAGGAGTTCGACCTCAGACTAACTGGAGAAGGAGTTGGAGGGACTTGGCGGCCGGACGAGCGCCCTGTCCGGCGCCGAGTGAGTGGCGTCCCCAAATGCGTGGGGGTGTGTGTCCCCGCGTCTTAAGTCTGGACACGCCAGACTCGGCCTTGAATCTGATTGGTCAGTTGGAAAGGCGAGTAAGCGAATGCCAGGCAGACACGTGCATATGCAGACACTCACGAGAAGCCCAGCGTTGAGACAGGTGTTCGCAGTAGGACCACTACATGCTGCCCAGTCCGCACTCCGTGACGCTGGATTCCGTTTAAACTCCCAAAAGCAACAGCGTGATTTTTCTTGGACAGGGGGTTAGTGCCGTGGGAAAGTGCGTCTCCCCGGACAAAATAAATGTGACACAAACGTGACCTCCACCCACAACGGCAACTGATATCAGGGGTTTCATTGGCCTAGCCGCTTACTACTGACGTTTATCCTACATTTTGCAGAGTTAGCACCTCCACTACATTGGCTTACTGAGAAGGGGCGAACATTTAATTGGACGGAGGAGTGTCAGATCGCATTTGACGAACTTAAATAACGACTTGCCACAACACTTGGTTTGATGTCACCCAACACGCAGCCCAAAGCGACCCCATTTATTCTCGACAGTGACGTCAGTAGGTGGCGTTCTCTTCCAATGTGACTAGACGGGGACAGAGACCCATGTGCTTCGCTATTAAAACCGTGACCTTACCCCAATGAAACTACTGCACTTTCCGTAGAGAACTGCTTGCAATGATCACGTTCGTGAGACAGTTTGAAACATCCCTTATCGATCATCATTCCACCATTCGTTCCGATCATAAGGCCTTACAGTGGCTGCAGAAGGTGAAAGGCGCCAAGGGCCAGCTGCCGCGATGTTATGAGGTGTTACAACAACTCGATTTTAGTTGTCAGTTCCAGCCAGGCAAGAAACACGCCAAAGCGGACGCTCTGCCTCGATGTCCCACAGGCAGACAGACAGACCAGGGGGTGTCGATTTCATAACCACAATCGTCATCAGTGAGCCGACCCGCCACCAATGAGCTATCTCTAAAAACACGTACCTTGACGCCCCCATTGTGTATGACCACCAGCTCATTGGGCAACACCGGCCGACAGACAGCGAGCTTCGTGTTTAATCTGAGATTCCCGCATCCTACGAAGCCATTGGGCTCACGTGTTATGGAGAACGAGCTGCTTTTCTCCAAGTCCACCTTGACTAGTTGTGCCCGGCAGACTATCCTCATACTGACGGGCCTTCATTGTGAACTCGGCCACGTGGACCATATGAAGACAGAGGCCGCAGCAAGACAGCGCTTTTGATGGCCGCGCCTCAGAGTACGGGCTTCCGTTTTTTGCAACACGTGCCCCACATGTGCCACGTGTAAAGGACCAAATCCCCGACGCCGACCACACCTCCAAACGATGCCCACAGGGTTTCCACACGAACGCGCGGGTTTTTACGGGATTTGACCCTTACCCATCATCCTAACTGGAAATCACTACGTATTAGTAATGGTTGATTATTTTGCTAAATTGACGGAGGCAGTCCCCATTCCACGGCAAGATGCGGCGCTGGTTACTATCACTTTGCACAACGCTTGGGTTTGTCTCTTTGGAGCCCCTGTCTCCATGGACTCTGACCTTGGAACAAACTTCTTACTTACTAGTACCTGGTGCGGCTGCGATCATGCCTGATCTAGCCGGTTTCGATGGCGTCCCGAACTGTATCTCTTCATGTGTGACAATCCGCGGCAGAAGATCTGGACAGTTCAACCCATTCTCTTCGCCTACGACGGAGACCGAATTCCGAAGGTCCAAGAATCGCCTCCGTGACTTGACGAACTGTGTCGGGCCAGGTTTTGAAATGACCCCTCTTCGACGCCTCCAATGGGGTAACGGTGCCGTATCGAGGGCTGTAACACTGGGCTCCGGAGATGAAAGAAGAAGAAGAAGAAGAAGAAGAAGAAGAACATGCCCGAACCACCTCAGTTACCTTTCTTGGATGGCCTGCTTTATCCTTGCGATGTTGTCGCAGGGAGCGCAGAATATCTCATTTGAGACGACGTCGGTGTACTTCACTCGAAGGATAGTCCTCAGCAGTGGTGGTCAAATACCTCCAGTTCTCACTCAACCTCCGCACGCACAGCCCAGCATTCTCAACCATAATGAAGTACAGACCGGACAAATGCACGGTACACGCGAATCTTAGTGGCAATGGAGATGTCGCGTCGGATCCGTAGGCATTTTCTGAGTCTTTAGAAAACCCAGCGGGCAGCATCAATTCGGGCGACGATGTCGTCCTTAATCTGCTCATTAGGCAGAAGCCCCGCCCCAAGGTATTTAAAGATGTCTACGTCTTCGAGTTGAGAGCCGTCAATGCCAAGAGATGCTTTCTCCTGGTCAAGGATGCAGCTTGAAAACACTTTAGTCTTTCCAGCGTTTATGGATAAGTCGACCGATTTAGTGACCTCGTTCACAATTGACACCATAGACCTCAGATCATCAATAATTGAAGCAAGTAAGGCAATATCATCGGCATAGTTGAGATCAGTCAGTCGGTGCCCGTGTGGAAACTCAACACCGTCACCTTTGTGTATGGCCCTCGCAAGAATCCAGTCAATATCGTAGTTGAACAGAATGGACGACAGGATACAACCCTGTTGAATGCCAGACCAAATATCAAACGGTTGGGAAGGATTGTTGCGGACCAGGACTCGCGCAGTGGTGGAGCGATAATAGGCCTTGATCATGACGATGAGTTTTGGCGGTACACCATCTAGTGCCATTATCTGTCAAAGGAACTCTCTATGGACGGAATCAAATGCGGCAGCAAAGTCAATAAAGCAGACGGCCGTCGGTTGCTGGTAGCCATTGTGAAATTCGAGAATGCGCCTCAGTGCAAATACCTGGTCCACGCATCCACGTCCAGCACGAAATCTGGCTTGGTTAGGCCTCATCCTTGAGCCACGCACAGCCTGGAATCGCCTGAGTAGAACAATAGCGAAGATCTTCGCTGCAACGTCGATGAGGCTTATGCTGCGGTAGTTCTCGCATTTTGTCTTGAGGATAGGTACAAGGACGCCTATGCCCCAATCATCAGGAGCAATCTCGTTTCTTTACGCTTGTTCTATCACCTCATGGAACCAGGGCCCCCGAGTGTCGACACAAGTCCTGTAGATTTGAGCGGCTTTACCGTCCTCTCCGGGTGCCTCTTGTTGCGTAGCTTTCGTATGTCATCGGCCACCGCTCCTTCAGACGGGGACAGCATTGCAGCGTATCCTGCTCAGGCCGTCAGGACATCATGCCATAAACGCGTGACAAGAGAACGATCAAAGTCATGACCCCTGTTCACACCTTCTTTGTGCTGATTGGCCACCCATCAGCATATGACAGTCCCCCTTGCCATAAACCCGGCCGTTTCCAAAATCCTCCTCACTTGTGCTGTCTATCGTACTCAGTACACGTCCTATTTCCAATGGCATTTTTGCCACAGATGAGAGGTGAACGAGGACATGGTCCGGCACATGGGCGTTACCAGTCTCGGCACCACGCATAGATCTGCTATCCTAAACCCCACTGCGGAACCTTGAGCTGACTATTATGTAGTCGGTCTGACTGGCCGTATGACAGTCGTTTAAATACCTTGTGAGCAGGTGTTTTTTGCGATGCTAGAAGCACGTGCTGGTGACAAGCAGTCGGTTCTGATTAGCAAAGTTCAGCAATCTCTCCCCACTTTCACATCAAGAACCAAACTTAAAGCGGCATGAAAATGACTGTTTGTGGAATCGCCATGTCCAATCCGACCACTCTAATTCCCGGCAGCAATCAGCAGATCGCGGTGACGGATTCGTCCCACTAACGCTTGCAACTGCGAGTACAACGCCTCTTTGTCACGCTGTTCGGCAGCTGAAGGAGGAGCGTACACAGAGACGATGGAGGTTCTCGTAAAGTGCCCCTTCAGTCGCACGTAGATCATCCGGTCATTGACGGGTTCCCAAGCAAGTAACACGAGGTCAGCTTGTTGCGAGAGGGCGATTGCACACCTTGTCAACCAAAAAAGGCGCGCGGATCTTTGTGGTATAATGTGAAGTGTGAGTCGACTTCGGGGGGTCTTTATTCCTCAAGAACCTGAGTCAGGAAGTCGAACTTCGGACATACAGCAGACATCCACGCCGTACTGATTAAGGCTGCGCGCGGTCAGACTTTGGATACGGGGGTCCAGGACCGTTCGCACATTCCAGCACCCAATGCCAAGAGTCCGTTCCTGATTGAGTAGTCCAGCTCGCATGCATTCGCCTGCACCATTGGACCAGAGTTGCTGAGCGCGTCGATTCCCGCGGACGCGATACTGTAGTCGGACTTATATATTTCATGAGGTTCCTTGGGAATTTTGGATACAGGCGGGTCCCCAACAGCCGGTTGGATCGTTTGTTGGAGGTTGTCTCCTCCAGCGCTTTGGCTTAAAAGCCTAAGCACAAGGCAGCAGTGGCAAGCAAACTCATTTAATGGCGGTTTATGGTTGCCATGTCACAATGTCGTCATCGGGCTTTGCGGCTTTTTTATAAGATTTTCAGTGTGCCAGACCTCAGCACCCTGGTAGCACTGTCGCTGCTGGTCTGTGACTGCTTATTCGTCAGATCTGGGTCTGCTTATTTCGCAGCCAACCTTCACTGAAGTTCGTCCCACTATCCGCCACCTGTGGACGCGCCGGGTATCCAGCAGCTAGGCCAAAGGGCAACCCGTGGCAGGATGGTAGTTGGTAGCCCTGCCCACTGATTCTACAATTGTACCTACTGGCTCGATTTCGGTATTTGTGATAACGTTCTCATTATGTCTGGGGGGTGCACGCACAGAGGCCCTGTCAGGATGACTTTCTTCTTCACTTTAACTGCCCCGAGAACGAGGAGCTGCAAAACTGTCTATATAGACTCATTGTATTGCACCCCCCACACTGAAATCTTTAGTAAAAGACGAAAGATTTATCCTAAACGGATTATGATTCATCATGCTTCCCATTATGCTTCTAGTCGCATGTGCGCACAGTATTACCTGCATCAGATTAATTGCATAGGTACTATCCTAGGCGGATTGGCGCGGGTCTCCGTTTCGTCGGTTTGCCTGCATCCTTGGGTCTTTTTACTCCAGACCTCCAGTAGAGTCCGGTGCGATCGTGTACGAAAGGACAACCGACGCTCAGTTAGGGTGTCTACCGATACTCCATCCACTGCATCAGTCATATTGACAGAGTGTTGCCCTTCACCCCCCGCCTTTACGAACAGCCAGGTTGTACTTGGTCGCGAAGGTTTGGCTGAAAACTGTGACGCCTTGTAAACACCGCTATGGCCAGTTAGCGATACTTTCCTGCACTTCCAGTTTAAGACACTACGGCACCCCCCGGGCGCCTCGACATTGCTGGGTTTGAACTGGGCGCACTTCACCTACCACATCGCGCACTTACTACCTCTTGGGTTCAGACTACAACAGCAAGGCGTCTCATACGTCAGTCAGACCCGAAGTGTTCACCTTCCTCGCATTTTTCACCTTATTTAAATTATGTTTCCACTTTATCAGGATCTTCAATTTCAGGCATTCCCTACAAGCGCCATTTACGCCTCCACTCATTTGCTCCACCCGTATAGCCCCTATTACCACCGGTCCCGTAAGTCAGGTAGCTGGGAGTTTTCGGTACCAGGAGGGCTACCAACTACCATCTAACCCAACCCGTCTTCGAGAGCAGGTTAGGGCGTGATCTCTGCGACCTCCTACAGACCTACAAAACCATAGTACACCGGCACAGCCCGAAGGGCATGGCCAGGTAGAACGTACAAACCGAACTATTCTCAACTTGTTGAAAGCCTTTACCTAAGATCACAACCCATATAACTGGGGTGTACAACTCCCATACGCCATGATGGCATATAGATTAACAATGCACGCTCCGACAGGCTACGTCCCCTTCTCCATGCTGATCGGCCGCCACTTCCGGTTACCCACGGACTCCCATCGTTCACTCCCTATATATGGTGACTGTCTTCCGGATGCTTACGTTCCAGACCTTCAAGAAATCTTAAGCCTTGCTCACAACCTAATGAGAATCCGCCTGGAGACATCTTGTGCACGACAGAAGGCTCACTTCGATCAACACGGCAATGGCTCGTTCTACGCCTCGGGCGACCTCGTATTACGCTACCGACCAACGCCGTCCGTCGCGACCTCGTCAAAATTCTTCCATTTGTGGGAGGGTCCCTTCGTCGTCACAGGCTTTTTACCTCCCTCTAACTACACCATCCGCTACGCGAAATCACCCGGAGGTCCCATTCTTACCGTTCCAGCCTCTTTTGTTGTTGTTGGTTAAGATCCTAGTTATTTGTTGTGTGGACGAGGGAGTGCGGAGTGGAGCGCCAAGGCGCGGGTTTGGCCGCGTCATCCACCTGCATCCTCCCCCGTCTCCGGTCTTCTTGACTCTGTCTTGACACCGAGCCCAATTGAGGGCGTAGGGGAGACTGCGGTAGATGCTGCGCAAGTCCCCGTCCCTGCTTCACCTTGCTGCGAGGCACACGGTGGACAGCGCCGGCAACGGCGGTCGAATTATCATGTACCAGGCAGAGAATTATGACCACTAAAAGAGAATCTAACATGAAAAACAGTTCAACTGGCTAGACATATTGCCTGTCGCGAATATTTTTATCAGAATTGGCTACTTTTGGAGTTTTTAAAATCTTCCAAATTAATTTTGTCCGATCTCCTAATGTTGACTTTTGACAGGGTCTGAGTCCACCAAAAGCAGCAGTCTACTATGGCAGCTCATCACATATGCTAGAATTCAACCAAGAAGTCAGAGATGGCCGTGTCGATCTCTCCAATTCTGTGCATTCTACTGGTCCCTGTGTGACTGTCCGTGAGGATTCTAGACTGAACCACAGGGTAGAACAGGATGAACATGTCCCGTAATCAGATCAGCAAACGCCCTTCCACCACAACAATTATCTGTATTTTTCTTACCTAGCTGTATTGGGAAATGCAGTTCCTACGTCTGCCACTGCACGAACCCTGAGTACCTGAGCGTGATCGGGGCAGTACTCTTTGCTAATGCTGGGTGCCATTTTGTGGAAGTTATGGGAAGTGCTTATGCTTAATTATGAATAAAAAATGATGATCTGGAACCAAGCCACACGAGCGACCGCTATTCTCATTTGTTATAATTTTTGACAAAATGTTAATCTACGATACTTTGATTTCATGGTGTCGTTGTGAAATCAGGCTGAGTCCATACCTTTACCAGTCCGTCAAGCGCATATTTTTCGTGCCGAACATTTGTAATGACGCGTGGAAGTCAAACATGAAGGTCGTGACCACATATACCCAGCTCTAATCTAAGACCGGGTAAAAACTGTATCTGAAACACTAAAATAAGTGATTCACGATAAAGACGGGGAAGGCTGATTAAGTTGTTTAAATGATGAAAAATGCTCTCCAAAGGCTGGGCTACATGAAGGTGTTTTGAGTGTGATTTGTTTCAACGAGTTCGCATTTTCGAACTGAAATCTGACGGCTCAGTTCATGTTTATTTAATCTAGAACCGTTGAATTATCCACGACCGATTCGGGGTTATAACAGAAACCGCGGCGGAGTTATACCGTCTTAGGCTTTCGAGCATACAGATCTGAGGGTGCGGAGAGTGCCTTATTTGTAACAGTATTGAGCTCACAATGGTTTTTACTTTCGTGACATTAGGACATTGACGTGACGAGATGGCCAATTTACTCGCGCAAGAAATGTTTTGTTT